GGTGGTGGGGAGTCCCAGCAGTGCAAAGTCCCTCTGCTGGGACATTGCTTACCAGACTCTGCAAGAAACAGGCCACTGAACAACTGACAGACATTGGAACAGGCTTTTTTAAACTAGACTATCAAAAAACTCACCTAACAAGGTAAGCTGTTACTGCAGAAAAGATTTATGCTCAAACATCAGACTGCCAGGAAGACATGAACAATATTTGCTTGGTGATAAAAGGAGAAGTGTAGAGCACTGAAACCTGAAAGAACATTCCTCCATTTCAAGCAAAATAAGAGGAAGTCTAAATTACCTATGAATTATGGTTTTACACACTTTAAGGAACTATAAACCAAGGGTTAAATTAGTGTTTGCAAGGTTGTTTAAATTTTACTGCATCCATGAGAAATGAAGTATTGCCAAGGCCTCACAAGGGCTGACGTTTTCCAGAAGAATTCTTACAAGGCTGCTACAAATTCCATATAGGACACATAATCAAATGTTCTGCTTAACATTATAATTGCACTGAGTTACAGAAAGTGTGTCGTCCCCTGGGCACCTTCTGACTGAGCGAACAGATCACGAGCTGCAGAGGGCTGGAAATGGAAGCAGGGTATTTATTATGATGGCAGACGTGCTCCTGATTTGGGGACTGAAACGGGAAAAGGGCAGAAATAAGGAAATCCTGGAGGGGATTTGGAAAAGGTGCCATCACTGATCTTGCCGCACTTGAGGCTCTGGGTTTATCGGTGCTGTTTGTAATGGCTGAGTGGTCAGTACTGCGAGGGGTTGAGTCCAAATTAAGGGGGTTGCCTCTTCGTAAAAGCCGCATTTCCATTATCCCTCAGACAAGGTTTGCAGTGAAGGGTTTACCCTTTGTCCTTCGTTTTCCTCTGCAAGGAGAAGTAATCTCATGCAGAGCTGTGGTCAGCCATGTAGAGCTGTGGGTTCAGCGCAGCTTGGCTAGACTGTGTAAGGTAAGGCTAGGCCTGGCAGCTTCCAAGGGTGTGAACCTTCCTGTCCCGCTGGTGAGTGCCGGGTCAGCCGCGGGAAGGGGCTACCTTCTCCTGAGGTGACACGATTCTTGTTGAAGGCTTGTACCATCACTGATGGTACTTTATCAAATTATATTGGCACTCAGTGAAATACCATTCTGCTGATCCTATCTACCCAATTGCATTTTTGAAAAATGCTGTCCAGTTGGGCTTTGGGATGAACCAAAGTTTTTTTTTTTTACTGGTACTCTTAAGAAGACCGCCAGCTGGGCCGATGTAGCTTTGCTCTTGGAGCCATCCGTGAATATTTTAGAAGAGCACTAAAACTTGCTTGTAGCACATTGGTTTTGCAACAAAATAGTTACTAAAATTGTTAAAATTCTTAATAATTTCTTTCGACTGCTTATTTTTTCCTGCCAGGTCCTTAGGAGGAAGGGAAAGGGGGAAAATGTGAAACAGAAAATATTAAGTTAAAATTAATCAAATCATTTTCCTGACAAGTTTTCAGTAACAAACTGCTACTATACGATGCTTTGTGTTAGCAGTCATGCTGAAGCATTCCTCTGCCCACAGAGCATGGTTCAGCTTCTCCTTAATAGATCACCCTTATGAGGCATCCATATTGTTCAGAGAGCTCTTGGTATTTGCAAAATTCCTTTAAATAGGTTAAATACGAATACTTTGAATTAAGCTGTTTTAAAATAGTCCTTTGAGGAACTCTGCAAGACCCGCAATTAAAGAAAATAAGGGTTAAACCATAACTATTCCACCTCCTCCTTGGCTGCCAACTGCCTTTGCTCCCAGAGTGGTTCCTGGCCTCGGTTCTCCATTCAGCCTGGAGTGAAGCCGAGGTGTGCTGACTCTGTGGAGCAGGATGAGGTGGCATGCTGTCCCATCCAGCATAGCTGGGCTCTCACTTCCAGCAGCGTTGGAGTCTTGCTAAGAAAAAAACGATTTCTGGGTAAAACAGAACAGTTCCTCATTTCACTTCCCCGTTGCTGCTGTGTCATTCAGAGGTAACTTTGCCATTCGTTTACCTGTATATCCCTGTTCCTAGGGAGGCAAACATAGGCCACCACTGAAAGGTGCCCCACAGGAAATGGCACTGGGTGCTTCTGCTTCAAGCTCGTGGCTCGCTTGATACTCACTGGTTGTTAGTGACAGAGCCAGCTGACGCCCTGCCTAAGTTACCTATTAGATAATCCAGCAGAGCTTCCACAGGGCAACTCTTTCACTTCTTTGCAGGAAGAAAGGAATACAGCTGTCTGGCAGAAGTTCTTAGCAAGCTTCCTTTTGTTTTTTATGCTGAGGTTAGAGAACAGTGGTGTGCAATGCTTCAGAAACCTTTTCTTGTTCCTGTCCTTCCTAAGGCTCTGCTTAAAGGCTTGGCTTTAAGTGGTTTCTTGTTCCTTTCCTTCCTAAGTCTGTCCTTAGAGGCTAGGCTTTCAGTGGAGGTAGTATTTAGGGAAAAGGATACACATTTTAAATAGTTTTTCTGTGGTTCAGGGATAACAAATCTGTCCATACTGATTCTTTAATGGTTCTTGGGGGATATGTTCATCTGAAAGTTATCCCAGGCATCTTATGAAGCTAATCATTGCTGTGGATTTTTACTGCAGATGAGAGGTCCAACATGCTTAACAATTTATAGCAATTAAGATTTAATTTGAAGTTAATAAAAGGTATGGTTTTCTGTCCATGTGGTAAGGTTACACTTAAGTACTGGATACATTTTTATAAATTATTTATTGACTGATTTTTATATATGCTATTTTGATTGTAATTTATTTAGCAACAGAATGGTGTTACAAAAAAAGAAGGAAGTGTTTGTCTAGGCTTGTGTTAATTAGAACTTCAAGTGGGATTTTTAAATCCGACCCCCTCAAACTTTTTATTTGCCCTGGCGTGACTTATTTCAATTTAGCTTAAATCGGCAAGCAATTAAATCCAAAGAAGAGTATGCACAGGGAGGGTTGTATAGACCTAAGCGAGCAAGTATTAGTTGACTCTATTATATTGAATCAAGGCTTTAAAAATGCTTAAAAATTACTTTGAGTCACTTCCCTACATAAATCTTGTAACCCAAGTGATGTATTAAATTAAAACAAAATCAAAGGTTAGTGCACAAGAGCAGTTACATGCTGCAGCAACGTACAGCTCGGGGAGTGAAGGGTTTACAAACAGATTTCTCTCAGGGAAGAAAAGCAATTGACACCCAATTAGTGTTAAAGCATATTCCTAAAGCTCAATGACTTGAGAGCAAATTACAGTTGTCATTGTGGATTTGTGAAGTGTGCTGAACCATGATGCATTCCTTCAGAGGGAAGTTGCTCAGACACAAAAGTATAAAACAAGCACAGCAAGTACGAGTTCTCCGTGTTTCTATAATATCTGTGCTGCCATAAAACAAATTTGTAAAGTTACCGTGAAGTCAACCCCCCCCCCCCCTGCCACTCATGGGGCCTCGGTTTTGTAGCTGTAAGCTGCCACAGAGATGTCAGTCTGTGCCTGAGCAAAACAACACGGGAGAAGGGGGTTTTGCTGCGTGACTAGTAAGGCGTGGGCTTGGCGCACTCTGCTTCTGAACAGCGCTTCTCCTCCTTAGAGTGGGAGGTCAGTGCAGTGTGATGGTGGTCAGGGGAAGACTCATCAGCCAGGGAGGTTTTCAAACTTCTTTGCTCTTCCTTTATTTGCGTATGATTAATACAGAATAGCCCCAAGTGTGGATTTTATTATCAGCCAACCATTTTAGCAAGATTATGCAAGAGGAGGAGGAGAGCAGATGTCATTTACAAATATACATGAGACTGGGAAATTAGCTGATTGCTTGGTGGACTCACTTAAGGAAGGCACTTATTCGAATACGGATGAAGAAGCACAGTTATATGTCAGAAAATGCATTGCCTATTCACAGCCTCCCTAAGCTGTTGATCTGGTATGCTTTAGCAAAGGCAGGGTCCTTCCTAGCAGTGCCCCTGCTGCATGCTTGGACCTGGCATCCTGTGTGCGTGGCGCTCGTGGCAGCCGGCTGCGCGGGACCACCTTGTTGGCTGTGTGCACAACGACTCCCGACCTGGTGCGAGGGCTGTGGCACGTCTGCGGGGCATGGCCTGGCCACTGGAGCCGGCTGGTAACCCACTTGCACAGCTTTGGTCATCCTCTTGATTCAGCAGCTTCAGTGTTGTCCTGAAGAAGGATGCTTTTCTCAACTGGAAGCAGGGACTACTTAGCGATGGAGTAATTAAATCACTCTGTTCATGAAAAGCCCTCACTGTTGATTTACAGTAGTTGTCATAGCTCCCGGAATACAGTCACGGAAACAAAGGCTGAATTGAGAACAAAAAGAGGAAACTTACTTGAGAAATCTAAATATCCAACAAATTCCATAACAATTTGAAACGTATCTGCTTGTTTCAACTGGTTTTAAGAAATCCACTCCAAGGTGCTAGGTGCGTAAAAAAAAGGGTTGTGTTTTCTGATTTTCTTTCTTTGCAAGCTCATAGCTCAAGAATAGGGTAACATTTGCTGCAATTAGGAGCCTTATGAGATAAAGGGAACTTTAATATTCTTTTGTTCAGTACCAGTTCTGAAAACCTTGCTCGGTCTCTCCTGTAGCTGATAGAGAATGTAGGAAAGGGTAAGGAAAGGTGAAGGTAGGCTCAGCCATAAGGAAGAGGGAAATCTTCAAGTAAATATGAAAACAAGAAATCCAACAGGAAGCTCTCACAAACAATGGCAGCTAGCTCTAGATTTTGCAAATAGGGACTTGAAATTCATATAAAGCCTCTTAAAATACAGTATGGAAAAAATACCAGTACATTCACATCATCTGTTACTTCTTCCTTCAGCATGAATAATGAAAGGTTTTGTTTTATTTTATTATCTGTCATTATTTTAATTTTATTATTTTTCAGGTAGTAATATCAAACTTCTGTGAATCATTATACCAATTAATGCTGGTGTAAATTTTAACTTAATTTTCTTCGTTTGACCAATAGTTTGATCATCTCCTCTTTGCAGAATCCTCAGCCTTATCAAATAAGACCTCAAATTGGTCCACAAGCGGGTGGAACCACACTTACCATCACTGGTATAAACCTGGCCACTGGTTCCAAGAAGGACGTCAGAGTTTCAGTCGGTAGCCAGCCTTGCAATGTGTACGTAGTAACTGGCAATAAAGATCTGTATCCTAACAGAGCCCCAACCTTTTCTGGCCTTTAGAAATTAAACAAATCCATTGTTTGTCTCTCCGTGACTCATCCCATGCAATGGTGCTCTGCACGTAACATTCAGACAGAAATGCACTCAGAGGCTCCACTTGGAAGAAGCAGCTGTGAAAAACAAACAGAGTGGGAGAACTTGGATATCCAAATATTCTTGCGATTTAGGCTTTCTCTGCTTGACTGCCTGCTCCCAACCCACCCATGGTGTCACTCACCATCTCCTCAGTGGTTCAGTAAAAAATCTTCATCTCCTAGCACCCCTTGGCTTGTTTCTCTCACTTCTTTTTCCTTTTATTAATTGTTGCCCTTCTCTGCCCACAAAAAAAGGTGTGCTGATACTGCATTGTTCTTGTATTTGCACACTTCCTTTTCATGTTCTGAATCTTTTTTAAGGACCCTAAGTGATCCAGAGAAAGTGTTGTAGCCTCTTGTAACTACTAGCAAAAATAGAGCCCTGTTTTTGTTGCTTCTGGAGTACTGCAGCAAAGAATACAAATCTCCATAATGATAATAACTGAAGATGTTTCCCCTTCTCCAATCTAGCACTGAATTTGGAGACGAGATCGTTTGCATCACAGGACCTAATAGCAAGGTTGGACCTGTTCAAGTCACCATGAACTATGGGGGCATGACAATTAATGTGCCACAGTCGTTTTCATACAGTGAGAATCCTACTGTCACCAAGTTCCTGCCAGTAAATAGCTTCAGCAGGTAATGAAATGTTTGTCATAACTTCATTTACAGTTGGGTTCAAATATGTGTGATATGTAATGGACCTATTAGTTGAACTGTTTGAAATAAAAACTCCTGTACTCCAGCCATGCACACATTTAGATATGTAGTTTGTGATCTTTCTTAACTGCAGCTGATGTTTGAAAGTGTTCTGTTTACCTCCAAACTCTAATCCCCACTTCAAAGGTAAATCCTGACAGGAGAAAAGGTAATGAGGTGTTTTGAAATGAAGATACCTCAAAGAAAGAGGTTTGAAGCATTTCAGCATGATGTCAGCCAACATGTTCTTTGTATTACTTACAAATACCCTATAAGGATTATCTGTATAAAAGGTTTCTAATGAAAAGGTTTCTAACATTTCTTCTATTCGGCTTTTAATAACTGTGCTGGAAACAGAGGAAAGTTATGGCATGTCAGCTCTTTGTCCCATGAGGAGAAAATTACCTTTCTGGCAAATCTAGATCAGGGTTCAATAATGATTTTAAAAGATACGCTCTCATTGGTGGTGGTACTCACACCCCATCTGGTTCCTTCTGGAAGAAAGCTCAGCTAGCACTATTTGTGAAACCAAAGAAATGTACACCACTCCTGGTTGTAGCAGTATGGCAAATCATCTGTATCAAACTCCTTGTAGCATACCTCTGGATTTGGAAGTCGTTCTGTTACCGATACAGGGACAAACTTGTGGCCTTGGTTCACCTTGGTCTCTGCTGTTCCCTAATACTCCAATCTGTCTGCTTCGTGGGCTACATTTGGCAGAGAGAGATCATGATCTTACCACTTCCTTTCAGTAAAAAGAAGTGTAACATCTTGACCTTACAAATAGGACATTAAAAATAAAATTGGCCGTGACTTCTCTTGGAGAAATCGGTAACTGCCTCCTTGAATACTGAATAGTCACTTAAGTAAAATAGGATGGTTTTAATATTTGCTTTTGATTTTTGGTTCAGGTGGTTCTGGGGCCTGAAGGGTTTTTTTGGTAGATCAGTAGTGATTTACCCCATGGGATTTCAAAGACTTCTTATTTTTCTCTATATAAACTGGAGCTTACTTTAATGGATTGCCTTGAGGATTGCTATCCCTCTAAATCCATGTTACTTTGATGACTTTAATTCCCACTGACATCCGGCATGCATTCTTAGGCGAATGCATTATTTTTTAAACAACGTGTTGCAAATGAAAGGGGATAGAGAAGCCGCGTTCCTGCAGACCTGGGGAAAATACACTCTCACCTTTGTCTCTGTGTCTGTGGAGTGATTTTAACAAAAACATTGGAGAAGGAAAGCACACAAAGATAGGCTCCAACAAAAAGCCACAAATACTGACAAAGCAATTTGTGCTTTTTTATTCTGCTGTTTTAAAATGAGTTTGAAGTTGCCATTGCTGCTTTCAGATGCTGTGGTCATCAACAGCTTTAACAGAAGTCACTAGTGTAGGCCATGTCATTGTCATGAAGGCATCATACAGCCGTTTTCAGTGGGAGTAGTAGCAGTGCGGGATAAAGCAGTCTGTAGCTGTGGTAGTTTGCCGATGACTTGACTTCTTTTTTAATTCTGCCTTGCAGTGGAGGGAGAAATATTACAGTAACTGGAACTGGTTTTAAGCTCATCCAGAGTTTCTCCTTGGTGGTACACGCAGAGCGTCCAGAAGGAGGGAAAATGAATCGCAAAAGGGTAATTTTCTTTCTTTCCTCCCAAAGGGATCACACTGGATGCATAACATATAATCTGTTCAAAAAATGCAGTTAAGTTTGCTCACTGGTTTTCACTGGGCTTGGACTAGAATAACATTTGAACAGATTTCTGTGTCTGTTCAGGCTTACCATGGAAGAAGAGTCTGCTCCTACCATCTTGATTTGCATTCACTTGCAATCTTCTGCTTTAGAATTATTTTCAATCAATATGAGTAAGGATAGAAGAACTAAGCTTTGAGTAGTAAAGATGAATGTATTTCAGAATTATTTTTTCTTTGTCTTTCTCCTTTTTCTCCCCCTGCAAGCTTTAGAGATTTGCCTGAAACAGGACCCAAATCCAGACAATGCTGAGTACTCAGCTTTGCAGAGTCAGTGCCTTTTATTTTCTCACACCTCAGTGAGCCGAGTCTTCTTTTCTTTCGTGCTTCATGCATATTCCACCTATAGCATGTTCACAAAATTGTGAAAAATAACATTAAAGAAAAAACTAACCCTTCTACCATCTCATGTTCAGAAGAACTGACATTACTGACAGTCTCAATTTCCCACTCTTCTCATGAAGATTGCAATTTAATGCAATGATTGAGGACTTAAAAGTGATCTTCCAGTGAGAGCATTATAAGACCTTTTTCTGAGGCTGGCTCTTCAATTTAAGACTGTCTTGTGATCCATATAGAGTTGGTAATGTGCGTGTTTTGTATTATATGCATGATTCGACTTTTAGAGTATGCCAAAACCAGCTGGATTTGGGTCCATCAGAACCCTATCCTTAAAGAATTTTAAGAGGAAAGCTCCAACTTTTCTTAGGCCGTAAACTGCAACATGTAATTATCTTGATAACCAACCTTACCTCCCAGGACAATTTTAAAGTCTGTTTAGCATTCTTGACAGTGTTTATCAACATTTCTTACCCCCGTTCTTATGTATGCTCAGTATCTTCTCAGCAGATCAGCTTAAGTTGGCATTACATACAGCATACATTCTTGGTTAAGACTAGAAACTTTTCTAATCTTTTGATTTGCTTCCACATTTATGGCAATATCAGAAATGTGGGGGAGGAGCTATGGAACTGCATTTCTCAAAGTGAGAAACTGAGGTGGTGAAAGAAAAAATGTTGAGGTTTCCTAGTGGTGTAATTGGCTGTTCTTGACCTTACTGAATGACTGAAGGCGTTTCCATGTTAAAAAAAAGCTTGTGTAATTGCAGATTGAGGACAGGTTGACCCAGTTGTTGCCTTGCGTAGTTGACAATTGGGTAAATTTATTCCAAAATTTTACTTAGTAATTGTAGTGAATTTCAGTGAGGTATTCTACAGTGTCAGTAGAAAAGAATCTACCTGGGATACTTAATGGTGCAGGAGATCTGGATTAAAGCTCCCATGTTAACCTCTTGATTAAACAGTTTTACGGTATCAGCCCCGTATACTCCAGAGCCACAGAATTTGGAGGCAATGGAAACTGATCTGTAGCCTAAGCTTTATCTGCAGGCAGCTGCTAGAACATAGTGGATCAACAATTTATTCCCATCAACAAATTTGTTTCATTTTCTTTTTGGAGAATACCTCATTGTAGTGGTTTAACCCCAGATGACAATCAAGCCCTACACAGCGGCTCAGTCACTCCCTGGCAGTGGGATGGGGGAGAGAATCGGAAAAGTGAGAAAACTTGTGGTTTGAGATAAAGACAGTAAAGCAAAAGCCATGTGTGCAAACCAGGTGAAATAAGGAATTTATTTGCTACTTCCCATCACAGGCAGGTGTTCATCCATCCCCAGGAAAGCAGGGCTCCGTCACGCATCACAGTTACTTGGGAAGATAAATGCTATAACTCCAAATGTCCCCCTCTTCCTTCTTCTTCCCCCAGCTTTATATGCTGAGTATGACATCATATGGTATGGAATATTCCTTTGGTCACTTGGGGTCAGCTGTCCAGTTGTGCCTCGCCCCAGCTTTGGTACACCCCCAGCCTACTCACTGGTGGGGAGCAGCAAAGGCCTTGACTTTGTGTAAGCATTGCTCAGGAATAATGAAAACAGCTCTGTGTTAACAACACTATTTTAAGCAAAATCCAAAACATTGCCCTGTACTAGCTACTGTGAAGAAAATTAACTCTATCCCAGCCAAAACCAGCACACTCATACTATGTTATTTCTGCTGTTTGGAGAAGATATAAATCTAGTGGTTTTATTTCTACAGTCTAAAGTTATGAACAGTTATGTATAGGAATTAGTCAAACTCTAAAATGTGCATGTTCTTCCTGTCTTGTTTCTTACAGTTTGATGGAAAGGTTGTTACAAGACTCAATGAAACCACAGTGGTTTTTTCTTCCCTACCGATACTGGAAGACCCAGAAAACTATAACATTACCACTATTATTCTAATGGATCATTATCATTTGGTTGTAAAAAATGAGAGCCACTCCTTTGCCTATGTTGCAGACCCGACCTTTGAAAACTTCACAGACGGTATCAAGAAACAAGTCAACAAACTTATTAATGCAAAGGTAAGCTTGTCAAGAGATGATGGTTGCTCATTTTGTCCTTGAAGCATATATGGAATTTTTCCTTCCTTTCTCGAACCCTTAACAGCTGTTTGGTACCATACCCAAAAATGTTGGTAGAGTCCCTTACCTCTGCTAGATGATGAACATTAGATGTAAGGAAAAAATTCTTCGTGGATAGGGCAGTGGGAAGTGAAACAGGTTGCCCAGAGAAGCTGTGGATGCCCCATCCCGGGAAGTGTTCAAGGCCAGGCTGGATGAGGCTTTGAGCAACCTGGTCTAGTGCAAGGTGTCCCTGCCCATGGCAGGGGCGTTGGAACTAGATGATCTTTAAGGTCCCTACCAACCCAAACCATTCTATGATTCTATGACAGTCAGCTCCCCTTTCCTCTCCCCCTCCCCTTCTCAGACATAGTTGCCATCATTTTAGCCATTCTTTGGGTTTCCCAGGGATGCCCCCTCCTGCTGAGCCTGGCATTTGAAAATACCCTCTGCCACAGAGCTCCCAAGGACTGGAGAGGACATCTCTTCTCTCACCAGGAAGGAAAGGAGAGGAATTGCATAATTTCCAATCACTCTGCTCTTCTGTACACTGCAGTGCAAATCACATCTGCTTGTAAAAATTATCCAAATGGAAAGTTCCAGCTCAGGACATCTTCTCTCCCCAGACTTTGTGATGATGACCTAGCCTTGTATTTTTCTGTCTAGGGCAGTAACCTGAACAAAGCCATGACGATAGACGAGGCCCAGGCTTTTGTGGGTGACGAGCCTTGCAATATAAAAACACTCACTGAAACGGACTTGTACTGTGAGCCACCAGAAGTACAGCCTCAACCAAAGAAGCGGCAGAAGAGAGATACCATCAATAACCTCCCTGAATTCATTGTAGGTTACCTTTTCAGTAGAATTTAATACCATCTGTAAGTGACACTGATGCAGTGCTTCTTAACTGAAGTAGTTTGTTCTCCAAAGCTGTTGTAGTACCATGAAGAAACTCCTTGCAGTTCTTTCTTCCTCCAGCTTCTGCCTGCAAACCAAAGAAGCGGCAGAAGAGAGATACCATCAATAACCTCCCTGAATTCATTGTAGGTTACCTTTTCAGTAGAATTTAATACCATCTGTAAGTGACACTGATGCAGTGCTTCTTAACTGAAGTAGTTTGTTCTCCAAAGCTGTTGTAGTACCATGAAGAAACTCCTTGCAGTTCTTTCTTCCTCCAGCTTCTGCCTGCAGTCTA